GATGGATATTTCTTATTTAAGCCTCCCTGTTACAGGAGACTGCTTAAAAACATGCTGCAGCTGGCATGCTCTAATAGCAACGAGTGACATATTCCTATAGTGACGGGAAGTCTGTAGAGTAACAGGGATGTCGGGGTCAGCTGCATGTTGGGAAAACAGGGAATCTGGTCGACTTTTTGTTTCTGACATTGCTCTAAAATTCCATCCACTCATTGCTTCTGTTAGCCTGCAACTGCTTGATGTTTTTGAGAGTGTCACGTTAGTTAATGCAAAGTTAAAAAAGGAAAGAAAGTGGCAACACAGTCTTTTGAATCCTTCAGGAAATTTGTCACAGTAGAGGAAGTGCGCAGGAGACACTTCAAAGAGTTCTTTTCCTGAAAGTACTTCTATGTTTTGAATTTCCTTATTAGAAAAAAAAGAGCCCCGAGGAGCACAACAGCAACCACAACTGTCTTGATGAAAGGCTCAGAGAAACATCAGGCGGGTTATGTTGCTCTCCCCCATCCCTGCGTCCTCCCCCACTTCCACTCTATCTGTACTTGATTGTACAGCCTCTTCTTGTAAAGAGAACAGCAAACGGCACACAGCTTAGCCTCATGTAAAATATATTTTGACATGTTCAGTGGATGAGAGCTGTGACAAGGACGAGAGACAATAAGCAATCCCAATATGTGGGGGGCGGGGCCAGAGAGTGTAATTACTGTGATATGCAGCCCCACTTTACCAGCATAAGCATACACCATATCGTTAGCTTCATAGCATAAGTGCCTAAGTCATTTTTTTGTGTTTTGTGTTTCAGACGGACAGGATGATGCAGCAGTGGTAGGGGAGTAAAGTTAGGCAAAAATCTCAATTTGACCAAAAAATGACTTAGGCACTTATGCTATGAAGCTAACGATATGCAGGACGACTTACCCCTAAAACAATGAAATTCCATTCTGAAATGTTTTCCTTTACTCACTGAACTGCAGTCGCAGACAGTCAGTGGTGGAATAATACTTAAAACAGGGAAAGTGAATAACACTTATCTTGTTCTGCTGAGAAATCTTGCTTCATGTGGATGAAGCAGTACAACAATACACGCATGAAACTGTGAAATGTGCAATTTAATTTATATTTAATTTGGAATATTAGGCTGGCAACATGTCCAGAGTGTACCCTGCCTCTTTTCCCATGACAGCAGGGATAAGCTCCAGCACCCCCATAACCATTAACTGGATAAGCTGAAGAAAAAGTATTTATGGATGGATAGATGAATGGATGGTTGGCAACACCAGTTAGGAAAAAATGTTATCAGATTTGACCTCTTATGACCTTATACGAAGGGTTTAAACAAAGTTAAAACTTTTAGATTGCCTTTGGTTTCAGATGTCAATTCAAAGCACAGCTCACCCTTTTGTCTGCTTACAGTAAGAAACCATCAGCAATCTACAGGAGCTCTTTTCAGTCAGCTCTGTTTTGTCTGATACAGCACATCTGGCAGTCAGCCACACATCCATTGATCCTGCCTGACTGATCACTGGTGGGCGTGACTCGGTTTGGGAACCAAGTAGTTAGCCACCACGTAGTTTGACCAGCGGAAATGCCTCTTCTTGCCTAATTAGACAAGACGGGCCGGTCAAATCGTTACGGGCTGCATTTCACTAATTTTAATCCTTCCTACTCCCACTGTTCCTCTCTCGCCCCCCTCTCTCTTCTCTCCCCGCCATCTCCTTGCCCACCACCCCCTACAAATTCCCTTCGGACTAAATTTTCCACTTGGGATCAAAGATAAGGGAGACTATTCTCTGAGAGAGAACATGGTGAAGTAAAACTGTTTATGGCCTTCTGCTCGTCTCTGTGAGAGTCTGTTCTTTTTAATAGAGACAGAGACGAGGCAGCTGGAGGCTGCTGACCTCATGGGCAAAGAGCAGGGAGCAGAATAACTGAAATTAAAAACATGCAGAGTACAATCACTACCAGTCAATCTTTATGAGATGTAGGTTTATGATTTCTTTTTTTTCCCACCGTCACAGAGCTGAATTCTACTCTGACAACATACTGAATGGTGTGGTAAACAGGATGCCTTACAGATGACAGACCTCCAGAAGTGCTTAGGCGTGTGTGTATGCAGGAATATCACACACATACAAACACAGACACACACAAACCGGAGAGGAGAGCTGGGCGATTCAAAGACAATGTAATTGTTAACAAAATCAACGTGAATGGCATGCAAAGCAACTGCTCTAACACAGGTAACTACACCTGTTTACCACAAACCAGGTGACACGCATTAGCTTGTTCATTTTTATTCAGTTTGCTGTGTCACTGTCTTTACTTCAAATATCTGAATTCACATTAGGAAAGACCAATGCCACTCCTTCATCCCTCCTCAAGTCTCTGCGTTATACATAAGGTTAGATAACAGCTAATATGGACAGAGAAGCCAGTCCTCCACACCCTCCCTTATCCGACCTCTCCCTTCCTGGGCAGCAGCGATGGATATCACAGTTTAACTCCCAGTCAACAACCACACATCAAACAGTTATAGTAAGGCTGTTTAAGAACATCCCGATCTTTGTTTTTTTGTAATTAATCTTAAAAATATAAAATATCTGTGGAATAATCAACTTTTTTCCTAATAAATTGGAAAACACTGGAACATTTCTCACCATTTAAAATATGTACTGCTAAATGAGGAGCATAAGTAGCCAAACTGCTGATTTGTACAAATTGACACAAACATTGTAATTATTTTATTCTCCCAAGTCTTTATTTACATTTTTCCCAAAATAATTGTCGCTCGTCTCCAGAGCAAAGGGTTAGGGTTTAAGTTCAGGGCTAGAATTGTGGTTAACAAAATCACATGACAAGATAAACAAGAACACTGACACAGCCTTTTATGGCTATACAAACACATAGCGCTCTAGCTAGCACCTAGCCTAGCTTAAAAACAGATTAAATCTCTGATTATGTCTAAAGGTGAAGTTAACTGTATCTCTTAATTAACCAGTGAACACAATGTACTGTATTTTGTTTGTCTAAAGTCATTAAAAAGTAAAGTTATATTTCAAGTTGTGGTTTTACATCTAAACACAATCATGCTAGCTGTGCTGCTATAATGCTATGTTGCATTACTTTTAAGTTAAAATAAGAAACCAGCTGCGTTACTGAAAACTCATCTAATCCTTGAAGTTTCTCTTTCACAACAACGCATACAGACAGACAGTTCCTACAATGGAAGAAAACAAATACTATTTTCAGTCAGCCACAACATCAAAACCATCTTCCTATATTCTGTAGGTTCTCAGCTCTGACTGTGAAAGCATAGACACAGATAAGGCCTGTTCCTTCACCTCTGACAGTTTGGAGGGGTAGTTCCACTGGTATAGGAGACTACTGTAGTCAGTGATGTGGTGCAGCAATATTTTAGGTGGATAGTATGTAACAAAGGTTGTTTCCCAGCAGAGCATTCCATTGTAAAGACATTTTTATTGTTCTTTGTTTCACGTGTCGGTGGTTTTAATGTTGTGGCTTACTGGTCTATGTCCACTCTAGAGTCATAACCAACCTATAACTCTGTGCGACCAACACCACAAGCTGTCCTTAAAAAGCTGATTTTACTTTTTTATTGCGTGTGCTGTTTCAAAGCCATCCTTTCATCTCTGAACTCATCCCCAAGGCTCTCCACAGATAAAAGACAAGAGGACAGAGGGATGCTAGAGGAATGATGCTCGTCTTTGCCACATGCCTTCACCCCTTAGCTTTATCTCAGTCAGCTGCTGCCTGCCAAGGTTCCCTGCCTCAGCCTTCTGCGCCTTTCACATTCTCCCCTTCAGCATCACTCTGTCCATTCATTATGCCATACTTCCATCAATGACTCTTTCACAGAGCCAGCAGTGTGGTGTTCGAAGGAAGGCTCGCAGCTTACATTGAGGAATGCAAATGAACAGGCTTCTTTTTAGAACGGCTCCTGAGATGTCTGCTTTTATAGAGATACTGTCATGTACCTATACCTTTATTTGAGGTAAAAGTTAATCATAAAGTAACATTACCTTTAACTGTTATGCTTTATAAACTTGTGATATTTATTTAGCACGTCGTTAAAAAAACAACAACAAAAAAAGAAGTCTATTTCATGTTATTATCACTCCCATGATCCTCTTCAGCTCAGAATGTGACAGCATTATGTTTGGACAACCCCAAAGAGTTTCCTTAATGTCATTTATCATTTCAGTGCCTGGGAACTGGCTTAATGAGTACATGCAAATGCATTTAATTTAGTGACCTTAATAGGAGTCAAGTTTACAGCAATTAATATCTGTATCCATCTAAGTTAGACCTCTCCCCAATCCTTGCTCTGGCCATTCAGAATATGTCATTTTTGTTCTTATGAAATTGTTCTTCTAAAAAAACAAAGACAATAATCATTCAAATGACACGTCAAAAACTATTCACATTTAAAAAAGACTAAAAGTCATTTTTATCTTTCTCCAAAACACAGTGTTGGGTAGACCTGGGGTTAAGAAGGGATGCTAATAGTAATTATTCTCACAAAATATTCATGTGTTGTTTGTTTAGCCATAAGTCCAAAGCCCCAAAACTCCTCAGAAAACTGAACAAATATTTGGGATTTTTCTTTGAAAAGCTGCTGAAGTAGCCTTCACCTCAGTGTTAACCCCGTCTTTGCAATCAGGGGACAGGAATCTTGTTTTTCCACAAAACATCAGGGTTAGGATGAGGACTGTTGCCAAAGTATTTGCTGTCAATCAAGCCCTAAAAACTGGGCTCTCTGACACAACCAGCTGGCACTAATTCTACAATTGGATGCCATGAAATGTGAATAACACACATCATGGAAAACTGGCATTTATCCTTGTTGTGTGCAGTTTTTTGTGAAACATTAAGTAACATCACAATTTCCTCTGTATTGTAATTTTTGTGTTTAGCGATACAGAATTTATTTTTCTCCATCTAAGTCAAGCCTGAAACTATTTCCTTTGGCGGTCGATCCTTACCTTTGCCTCGCACTTCCTGTGGGTGGCTGTTTTGCATACTGAGAAAAACACGTCAAGTGGGAGGGGGAAAAGAAAACAAAGGTTAGGATTAGTGACCTTACAGTTGTGTCCAATTTCTTTCTTTGGTTTTATTTTTAATAACAACCAAATTAGTGGGAGAAAGTCAACACAGGAGCACTCTCACCTCTGCAGAAGGAGCCCACGTTATCGACGCTCTGCCGACACACGCTGCACTGCCGCTTCTTCTTGAAAGTCTTCTCCTTGAAGACGTGGGGCTCTCCTTTGCCTGCCTGCTCACAAACACACACAGAACAAAGGTTTACACTGTATTACATGCCTAATACTGGACTAGACATGCTACTGTTAGAAACACTTTAGAGTCCTTGTTTAACCTTCATCCAAGAGTTTCGACTTGGCAGACGTTCAATGTTTTCAGTCAGTCATCCTTACACCAACTATAGCAGGGGTGTCGAACTACAGGCCACGAGGGCCGGGGTCCTGCAGGTTTTAGACATCCCCCTGGGTCAACACACCTGATTCAAATGATTAGGTCGTTACCAGGCCTCTGGAGAACTTCAAGACATGTTGAGGAGCTGTGTTGGATCAAGGACACATCTGAAACCTACAGGACACCGACCCTCGAGGCCTGGAGTTCGACACTCTTGAACTATAGTCATTTCACTGCAGCGTCCAGTGTAAATTAATTAATTAGAGACAAATAAAAGATCAAATAAAAGTTGGGTGAGTAAGTTGGTTATAACAGTAGCAGAAGCTTAAAGTTTTAACATGCAGACTTGTGTATGAATGAAGGTGCTTCTTTTACTCCCTTTGCCTCTCAAACTTCTGTTCTGGTTGTGTAACTGTCTTCCAGTAATAATCCATGAGATTCCCGCCCATAACCAACTCTAATCCTTAGTGTGTGTGTAAAGATTTGTGAAAAGAGGGGGAAAAAAGCAAACGTATCGAACTAGACAGCTAATTAAAGTGAAAGTACAAGAAAATCCCATCTTTTCTTTCTTACATTTCCAAGTGTACATGTATGTGTGTTTGATTTCATGCGTGTGTGCCAGTGTGGGTACATTAATGTGTGTCGTGTTGTCATTTCCACCCACGGAGTCTTTGTTTCTCAACATGGGATCAAATCTGCATATGACTCTGTGGAGGTTTGCAATACGAATCCATGGGCCAAGTGTGAGGATTGCTGCATAATGGGTCTTATCTGACATCAAATACGAGTCCCTCCCCCCACACATACACCGAACACGCACCAGTGCTGTCGTCACCCAGAGTAAACAGCTATATTTAAGAAAGCTAACGCGTCCATAACGTGTCCATAGCCTTGGATAATTAAAGTGATACAGAGACAAAAAGGGTTTTGTTGCCTCTGCTTGTGCTTTTACTCCTTGGCAACAAAGAAAGGGAGCTGTTTGCACACTTCTTCCATTATCCTGCTTCCCTGGCTCTGTTCTAGGGACCGGACAGTGTTTGGACAGCTGCCTCGCCTGGCATCACCCTCGTGCCTGCTGTGTGCAGCGGCTGCTGGCCTGCTGCTGTACAAGTGTACTGCGACCGCAGCACCTTGGATGGTGGAGGAGGATAGGGTGGGTGGCTCAGGGGCTGGTGTATGTTATATAATAACACATGGCTGGAAAAGCTCATCTTGCCAGTACTTGTGGGTGACGTATCATTTTAAATGCTGGGACTTTTTATTTTATTTGACTCATATGGTCTATTCTTGTTGGTGCTTTTATCACATTAGCAGACCAAAATCCACTCAGCTTTCATTACAGTTTAGCATCATCTTATCAAGTCCTGTTTTGACGTATCTTCTGACTCAATACAATGTTGAATACAACAAACGCTCCTTTGCCTTTCCTCATGACCAGTCTTGCTGCCTTTATGTAATGCACGTTCTATTTCTATTGCTTCGCAGTGACATTCAAGCCCACTGACAAAGCAAGTTAGTTAAACTCCTCCTGGACTTTAGCATGCATCTATAAAAGTATGCAATAGACCTTTAAAATATACATTATTGTACACAAGGGGGCCTACACTGAAATTTAAAAAAGCAACTAGTTACTGTCAGCTGAACCACAGCGGTGATGTGGGCTGAGAAATAAACACACTGAGGAAAGGCTGGCAGCATTCTTCCTGTTCCAGACACAATCAAGACCACTATATAGTCCCACCACAGGCAATCATGGTCAGACAGTGATACGGGGCTCTGCTACTGAATTCTTTGTTAAGGTGTTTAAAAAGCCTCTCTCAGGCGAGAGGACCTGAGGGTAAAAGCATGAAAACCAAGAAAGTGTAACAAAGGCAACACAATATGGTGATTCTATATGCAGAATAACCTCTGTGTAACAAGAACAAGGGTGAATGGATACCAAAGGTTTGAAGTGTGGCATTTGCTTGGTTTTAAGATTGATTAACTGATTAACTCACAGAGGTTCCAATGTCCTTCTTCAAACTTGGAAGCAGTTGTTGACCAAGCAATCTCATCCCAAGGATCATTTAGTAGAACAAACTCATGCTTTAAGCCAACACGGATGAAAAGTCTTCCAAGCACTATGTAAAACATGACCATCTGCAAACTCGTTACCCATGTGATCACAAGCTTCAGTCATGGTACCAAGTTGACTTGAAGTGAGGTGGTTTTGCACGCTGTAATTATTATGACTCGTCTGTTTGCTGTTAAAAGCAGCAAATAACTGCTGTTTCATTAGAGCCCACAATAGATGGCACCATATGCCTCCAACAGAAGAGTCAAAGATAATAAATAGTAATCGAAAAGTTAAATATGTGTAATATCTGACTGTAAAAATGATGTTCTTTTACAGTTGCACACAGCAGCTGCTACTTTTGTTTATTAGCCAACTTTCCTTAAATCAACACTACAAGGATGCAGAGGTGGGCGATTCAATTCAAATATCAATCTAATCAATATCAAAGCCAGTAATGATATCATACTTTCTATCCTCTAAGTCCAGGATGTAACCCACTGAATTGTGTGAAATAAATTATGTTTTAGAAATGAAACATTATGCATCAGACATACTCTAAAAAATCAGCTGTCACACGTCTGTTTTATCAATGTCCTAGAGCAGCGGTCCCCAAACTTTTTTGCACCACGGACCGGTTTATGTCCAACAATATTTTCACGGACCGGCCTTTAAGGTGTTTTTTCTAATAAATTCAACAAAATAAAACCAGTACCGGTACCCAAAAATAGAAGATTTATTCATAACACAAGGGAAAAGACCCAGGGAAACAGAGTTAACAATAAAATAGATTAAAAAAAGAAAAGAAAGATAAAACATAACAACAAAAACCCTGAAAACCATGAATTTCACACCTGAGCCGGGTACCAAACGACTCACAGACCGGTATCGGTACGTGGCCCGGAGGTTGGGGACCGCTGTCCTACAGAATATTCAAACAACAGAATATCACCCAAAGTGCTTTAGAGACAGGCATGTTTACATTCCAGGTCTCCATAAAACCCCAAATAACTAAAAGCTGAAAGGTCTGGTTTTTTTTCAATAACTAATTATGATGGAAACAGATTTAGTGGTCATTAAAATGTGTTCAGAATTACCAATAGTGATTCATCTCATAAATCGTGACACACTGCTCCCTTTCCTACATAAGCTGGTTAAAAGTATGACACAAATGACACAAAGCAGCATACAGGTACGCCGATGCTAGCTAGCTAACATGCTAACTTGAGTTGATGCTTCTGGAACACAAGGCTAATATTGCTCCATAACACTCAGTAACCTGTTGATAATTTTTGGTATTTTAAAGAATGTTTTAATCTCAAATTAATAATCCCACATAATGAAATTTGGTAAAGGTACAGTCAGTCATTTTTTGAGGCTTATTTAATAGAAAAGAAAAATGTTATATTTGCTTTCTTAAATAAACATTGAATATATAGAGTATATAGGAAAATACTAGCTAATGTAGCTGTTAAGCTAAATGTTTTATACTGTGTTAGCAAGCTCAGCTTAGCCCCTTTATCTTTCCTTACCCAAAAAATGAGTTTAAAATCACTTAAGAAGATGGTTTGTATGTTAAACAATATGTTGAGGCAGTTTCAGGATATGACAGATACTGCTTTACCTGACTCCTCAGAGATACAGTGTATCTTGCTAATGACATTAGGGTTCTGCTCTATGTAGCGCCTTAATTAGTGTGACAACTGTGTTTAGCTACTATTTAACAAAAAAAAAAAAAAACTTGTCTAACCGAGCTTAGTACGTCTATTTTGACAGTCACAATCTAAAACAATATTACAGATTAAATTTGCTTTTACCTACATAATATCAGCATTTTCCTAAGCTCTGAAGTTTTTTTTAAATTTTCGGTGGCTCTTCCTAGTTGGGAACTTATATCTCCCATTATTCAACAACAAATGACTGCATCGTAGGAAAGAGCTAAGCATTAGCCAAAAGCATTAATGTCCATCTGTTGTTAGCATCTCTTTTTCATGTATTTGTAAGACATGCCGCTGCACTGATGGAAAGCTGTGTGCAAACTGAGTTCAAAACTCAAATCTCCTGAAACATTCCCGTCAGCTCAACTTGGGAGTCCAGCAGAGGAAACCACAGTGAAGGAGGTTTACAACTTTGTGTAGGATTACAACAGAAAACAGCTGGTAGAGTCTGAGTGCATGAGCACTAAAAACAACCTGCGATGCAGAGCCTGGTCCCCAGGATAGCAATTACTGTCACTGCTGCACTGGATAAAAAACATCTTCCTCTGGTAAAGCATGTGTTATCCACCATTTAGTACTCAGAGCCCCTAAAAAAACAACTTGTTAGAGAAAAGAACCATAAAACTCTCTGAACGTAATAATAATAATAATAATAATAATAATAATAATAATAATACCACCAAATCGATTGACTCTGTCTCACTATAGATGCTCATTTTAATCATCACAGTTACTGATGGACAAACCCTTATAAGAATAGGCTACATGTGGCCATTCAAGCTCCAGTCCTAACCAGCTGAGGCCTGTCTACATTTCCAAAGCACTAACAGAAGTTGCAAACATCTACCTGAGACCTCAAGAGGAAAAACTTTGCTCACACATACACACTCACGTGCAGACGTGTATCCCTGCAGACAGCTGGAGAAAACAGACACACGTCCGCTCTCCTATTCCCGTCCCCGTGTGCTGCAGGAAAGACCCCACCTCCCCCTCTGCAACATCTGCTACGCACAAGTGGGTCCTTTTTCTAATATTTTTAGCCTTTTGGCAGAATAAGGAACGGAGAGTTTA